CATTCTGTCAAATCTTTCTCTGATTCATCACTTTGTCTGCCTCTCAGTTTGACAGTACTGTTTGGGATTAGAGGCGTGTGCTAAATTCTTGCCAGAGCAATTAAAGGTGTATACTAAGGGCATTTCTGTGTTCCAGCCAGATCACTTAGAGCTAGGTCTTTGGATTGAACCCTTGCTAGAGCAGTCCTGTTGCTGGGTTAAAATCCCTCTATACACACCCATGATAGAAATTTTTAGTTTCTCTTGCATGAGAGCTCGTGTGCTATGTATGGTGTGTGGAGGTCAAAAGACAGCATGTGGGAGACATGTCTTTCTTTCCACTCCTCGGGCTCCAGAGATCAAACTCGGGCCCGTCAGTCTTGGCAGCTGGCATTATCTGCAGAGCCATTTGGCAGCTTCGGCTTAGTTTTAAAAGTAAAAAAGTTAGAGCACGGAAAAGCCCTGGGCTCCAGACCACTCAGCAGGTCAGCGTCCTGACTAGAAATAAAACCGAATGGCTTTGCCTTTCTCGGCTTCCACTGTGAGAGTAGATTTGGAGAAGGTGTGTTATGGGTAGCCCACCAGAGATGACCACCCAGACACAGTTTAGAGCCAATTGAGTGTCTTTATTCCAGCTGGTTGGGTCCACACTCAGGTAATTCAGGGACTAAGCTGTGGAATTGAGTGTACAGAACATGAGAAGAAAACTTTAAAGTCTTGGCGTCTCCCCCATAGCTGCAGAGGGCTCCCCAGAAGTAAGCAGCAGCTTGCCTGGAGGGGGGTTCTTACAATCAGCAGCTTAACAGAAGCTAAGGTAGGTTAGCGAGGACATCCTAGCCTAACCTTTAGTTCCTAAAACAGAGTTGGGCAATTTCCCACGGGATTATCTAGCAAAGAGATCAAATTCTAGTTAAGCCTGAAGTGGCTTCAGCAAGAATACACGCTGGAGGAGCCCTGTCACACGTAACCCGTGACTCTTTCCGGCTCTCAGGAGTTACAATCACAGGACAGTAGTCCATCTCTTCAGCACAAGCCTTCCAGGGCTTTCTGTATCCTCAGAAACCTGGCCCATCACCACGCTTCCTCCCTAGCTTTGGGACGCTCTGGCCTGTCTTTGGGGTCCAGCCCTGTACCATGTGTCTCCCTCCATATCCAGAGTCTAATGCAAAAGGCCTGGCAAGAATGAAGGCCAGAGTCTAAGCCTGTCCCCAAGCACCTCATACATAAAGGAGAGAGCTAAGGTCAAGCTTTGTGGAGAAACTGAGCCGGGTCCCCTTCACCACACTCCTTCCTGTGCCTGGCTCCCCCATTCACTCTTCCTCTCCACTGTCTTCTCCCAAGCTACGCCTCCCAGAGGCCTGGCCAACGGGCTGCTCCGGGGTTCCTATCATGATGTGCTCCTTTAAAAATGTTTCTTTCTTTCTTTTTTTTTTTTTTTTGTAATGGGGGCAGGGAGACAAACTCACTGGAGTCGGTTTCCTCCTTCCACTTGGGTTTTGGGAATGGCACTCGGGTCGTCAGGCTTGTGGGGTGAGCGCTTGTACCTGCTGAACCATCTAGCTGCCCCCCTCATGCAATGTTCTTAGTGCCCCTATGCCTTTGCACACGAGGTCCCATTTATGGATTTGGTCCCGGATGATGCGTCATCTTTTGAAAGACCTTCGGGAAGTATTCCAGGCCACCAGAACCGTGTTTGTGTGATGTGTCTACTCTTGTCTGGTACAGCACTTACTATATAAAATTGGCAGCTGGTTATGGCGGCACTTGCCAAAAATATCAGCAAGGTAGGGGGTGGCACCCAGGCAGGAGGATCAAGAGTTCAAGGCAGCCAAACCTTGTCTCAAGAAAGAAAACCTGAACTGGAATGGTTTACTTGTGTGTCTTTCTCCATTAGGTCAATTACTTCAGGGGTAATCTGATCACTAGGATTAGAGTAAATCACCCGATACTGTGTTTCTTTCAACTGAAGTTGTCTATCTCAGACTGCTCCGTAGGAGGCAAACAGGTCTTTGTGCTCACAGATAAGGGCTAGGGTAACCAGGAAGGGTAAACACACGGGATTGTCTCTTCACAGGGAGAAATATATAACCTCTTTTTCCCACCAGGAAGGCACTGGCATAGTTAACAGTCTGGTGACCTTTGCACTATCTGTGTGGCAAGGCCATCCTGATCCCCTATACCCTCGTCTTGAGCTTGTCTGTTTCAGTCATCTATAGCACCATCCTCTTCCAGGCCCGTACCACCCCTGTTTTATCTTGAACTTGTTCTCTCAGTTATTCACAGAACCCATCTTTACCGAAGACCTCACTTGTACTTTAAAGGGTTTTGATGTAGTCCTGTCTTAAGCTTTGTTGTGCACATGGGATTGAGCTGGGGTTTTTTTTGTTTGTTTTGTCTTGTTTTTTTTTTGTTTTGTTTTGTTTGTTTTTAATAAATTGTATCGTGCTTAAACATTTTTACAGGGTCAGACTCTTGAAGTTCGAGCCAACACCAGCTGAGTCCTGTTGGACCGAACTAGCTTCTTATCTCCCTCTGATCACCGCTCTGCCATACTTTTCTGGTTGCAGAGATCCCTCCACACCATCCCATCCCCCAGCCCCGCTCTGCTCCCGGTTGGTTGGAAGGAAAGGCTGACCGAAGCCCATGTCAGCACCACGTCTTGCCCTCTGCTGCTAGTCTTTAGCCTCACAGGCCAAGCATGGGGGAGATCAGAGCAGACAGGTGCACTTTAGGGCTCCTCACTGACCTCCTACCCATTCCCCAGAATGGCTGGAAAGTTACACTATGTTCTCTGAGAAGCTAGGCTCAGGTGACTCTGTCAGCAAGCCTCCAGCTTTAGCCTAATGCTATTACTCATGCCTGATGTGAGAATTGAGTAGCATGTTCCTAAAGAGGAATGTTTAAAATACACACAGTGCTCTGGGCTGAATTCTCCCTCATACCATTTAAGGAGACGTAAGTTTTCACTGTCAGTTGCTTGCAGAGGAGGAGGAAGAGGAAGCTTCATTGAAAGCTGTGCTATGGTGAGCACAGTGCCAGGTGCTGGGGGTGGGTGAGTGGGAGATGAGGAACCTTTCCACCCTCGGGGCATTCCAGCAGCTGGGATCTGAATACCCTGGCTTCCAGTTAACATTTGATAGCATGTAAAATGCAGGCTGTGGAGTCAGGCTTCTGTTCCCTGTCAACTTTCAGCCACTCAGTGACTATTTACAGGGGACCTCCCACAGACCAGCAGGTGTGTTCTGGCTGGGCCTAGGATGGTGGGCTAAACCAGACTGGATCCACGGTTGCGCTGGCGGAGCTGACTATTGGGGTTGACTTGTAAAGTTAAAATAAGTCCACAATTATAGATGATAATTCATAAAAATTATGCATGGAACAATGGATTTTTAACTCACGGCTGCTTCTAAAGGTGCTGTGCAGGGAGATCGGATGGCACAGTGTGGTTTGTTTTGTTTCCTCTGAGGCAGGGTCTCACCATGTAGCCCTGGCTGGCCTGGCACTTGCTAGGTAGACCAGGCTGGCCTCCGACTCACAGAGATCCCTGTCTCTCCAGTGCTGCAACAAGTTTGTTTTGACCTAGTTAACAGAGGTCAAGGTGCTGATGGAAGAGCAGGAGTTATAACTGACTAAAGGGGAGGGCAAGTACCACTCAGAGAAAGGGCAAGAAGGCTGGAAGGAAGCTGCACCAACACTGCCCATTCCAGTAGCCACCAGTAGCCGCACACGAAAACAACGTTCTTAAATCTGGTTAGTGTGACCGAAGAGGCTAAACTTTATTTTAAAATTAAAAACCAAAGTAAGATAAATTTTAAAGTATTTTTATGCTTAACCAAATTTTGGACAAGGCAAATGAAATATAATAGCAGTGAAGTTAATTTAATCTGTTTTGGTTTTACTTTTTAGAAGCATAGGGTCTGGTGTGGTAGCACTTGCTTTTAATTCCAGCACTCTGGAGACAAGAGGCAGGAAGATTTCTGTGAGTTGGAGGCAAGCCAGAACTACATAGTGAACCCCAGTCTCAAATCTAAAATAAATAAATAAATACATTTAAAAGGGTAGGGCTTCATGTATGTCTGTAATCCCAGCACTGAGAGGCTGAGGAGGCTGAAATAAGAGCTATCTCCTGTGAGGGCTTATCTCCAGGTTCGAAAGGTTCTTTGTGTACAGCTCACCCATCAGTGGGTTCAGCAGCAAAAGCTGCAAGAATGATCGCCAACTACAAATATGGTCTGCTTGATGTTTTCTGTTGAGCCAGTGAGGGCTACGCTAGATACGGTTGCTTTTGAACGTGGAACTCTCTCTTCTAATGCAGTGTGGCAAGGGTGGAGGAAAACTGCATCCTGGAGCCGATCCTCCAGTCCTCCGCCCCTTGTTCACCGGGTGACCTCCCCTGGAACTCAGTTTCCCTTGCTCGTGGGCTCGAGGAGGCGGCAGGCCTGGCAGGAGCCAGCTTGCTGCACGGAGCCGTCCTCGGTCCGTCTGCCTTACCTGAAAGCTTCGGTGGAATCCCAAAGCTTCAGGGCGGGTTACGCCACGGGTCCGTACCCGACCAAGCTCCTGATGGCTGCCGGCACCCGCGGCCCCACACCACCGGGGAAGGGGCGCGCTTTGGTTTGTGACTGGGGCGGGGGAGCAGGAGATTGTGCCATTTTGCTACTGTGAGTCCAGCCCGGGTCACCACACACTCTTCTCCTACAACAATGCAGCCCTGAACCAGCCGGTAGCCGCCCCGAGCGGTTACCATGGCGACGGCGGGCGCAGCCCAGGGGACCAGACCAATGTGTTTAGGGGATCCCAGGTCGCCCGGCCAGTGCCACACAGCGCGTACGTAACTCCAGAGGCGTTCACGGCCTCCGTCGATTCGTGAGCCGGAGAAAGCCCGCAGGAGCCATGCTGCCCCGCGGAGGCCCGTCCGGGAGGCGGGTCCCCCTCCGTCCTCCGCGGTGGAGGGGTAAGGGCCACTCCCCCCTCCAGCGGTCACGCATGCGCACGATGTCGGCGCCTGCCAATCGCGGTCGCAGCGGTTGACGCGGCCTGGGCGGATCCTTCCTTGGACTCGGGCTTCGCAGACGCCTCAGGTACGTCAGGGAGCGGCGAGCCGAGGTCTCGGCTAGCCGAGTTGGGTGGGATGCCCGGGTACTCCTGGGGAGAGGACGGCGGGCGGGCCAGGCCGGGTGGCGTGGTGGTCCGTGGGCATATCTTGCGATGGTGACTCGGGGACCCTGTTTTGACCCATTCCTTGAGGGTTTGTTTTGTTTTGTTTTTTTCCTAACCGGTACCGAACTCCTACAGTCAGTCCTGTGGCCTGTGCAGCTGCAGATAAGCAACTGCCTGGAGACACCTTTCCCTTTGAGAATCCGGTGAAAACCAAAGATGCGTCCTTTAATTTCTTGCCAGAATGAAGATAATTCATTTTGTAGCCTGATGCAAACTAAAACTTCGCACAATAAGTACAGTCCCCTGTAGAAGGGACCGCTTGATTAACTTTCTAGAGTCATGGTAAACATATGTCCCAGCAACGTGTAAACACTAAAGCATTCTTAACCTCCGAGCTGGGTGCTGTTATTATAAGGTACTAGAGGTCTGGAGAAATGGTTCAGCAGCTAAGAGCACTGGTTGCTGTTAGAGAGAACCCAGATTCCCAGCTCGGTCGGCAGTAACTCCAGTTCCAGAAATCCACAGACACAGGCACGCGGTACCCAGATTTACGCCATACGTGAAAAAACAACAAATAAAGGCTCTTGGGGGATGAAATGCTGGGATCCCACTGAGGGTGAGCAGCAGTGTTTGTTGGAAACCAGGTACTTTCATGTCCTCCCTCTGAGAGCGCTTCACTCAAGAACCCTAGGACCTCAGCAGGGTTGGTTATCCAGTGCCCAGGGAGTTTTGCAGGGTGCTTGATCTAGAATGTGTGTGTGTGTGTTTGGGGGGATTGTGTGAAGGGGACTGGGGAAATTCCCAGTGAATATGGGTGTTTGCTGCTCAAGCACAAGGACTAGAATTCCACAACATCCTGTCCTAGACTCTGACAACCGTAATTCCAGCTCTGTTGGGGGCAAAGACAAGACTGCTTGTTCTTGCTGGCCACCAGTCTAACTCCAGGTTTCAGTGGGAGACCTTGTCTAAAGAGAACACAGAAAGTGACAGCCTGTTGTCCTGCTCCGGGCTCTGCCTCTGTGTCTGCACACACACACACACACACACACACACACACACACACACACACCTGCACATAGCCCATAAACACACACGTTAAAAAAAAAACAAACTACCATGAATTTTATGACTTCTCTTTACTTGTTCTGCTTAAATTTAAAAGTTGACCTCCTCCCTGAACCTAAGCGATGTTAGTGATTTCATGAGCGTTGCAGGAGGTCGTGTTGTGATTCAACACGTGCCTGGTGCCGTGGTGACAGTGTCGTTATCAGCTCCACCATGTTCTGGCTCTCGCCTTTTCTTAAGACACCTTCCTTACCTTTACCCCTCAGGACAGGTGACTTGACACTGGACTCAGAGATAAGCACCACTGTCGATTTGGGAATGAAATGTGAACGTGGATTTGTGCCTTTAGAATGGCACGTATGCTAGCCAGGCATGGTGGCGCACGCCTTTAATCCCAACACTCAGGGAGGCAGAGGCAGGAGGATTGCTGTGAGTTCCAGGCCATCCTGGTCTATAGAGTCCAGAACAGCCAGGACTGTTTACACAAAGAAACCCTGTCTAAAGAAAAAAAAAATGGCATATATGCAGAGGTTGGTGTTCCTGGTGCTGCTCTTACTGGCTTATGGGACTAGTGAAAATTCCATTCCTTGCTCCACAATGTAATGCTGGCGATGCCAGCTTGTGACAGAATTGCCTGAGGCTAACGTAACTGGGAAGCCACACACACTTTGGCTCACCTGCCTGTTCCCACTGAAGTCACCAACCTGATGGGGTGCGTAGGAGGGGCTTGTCAAGGGGTAGTTGTGAGTTAAGTGACATTATGCAAAGGTCTTAGCGTGCCGCCTGGCACCTAGGGAGCATCCAGGGCATGGGCACACCCACCAGGGCTGTCAGGGCCTCAGGCCTTCCTTTGCTGTTCTGTGCAAAGGGACATCTCTTCCCAGCAGGCATTGCCAGGACTGGTGATCACCGGTGGGTGGAAGGTTTTCATAATTTGAAAATAAATAAAGTCAGTGATCTGTTTGACCCTAGGAGAAGAAAGTGCTGCTGCTTTCTCATCAAGTCAGGGATGCCTCTCTTTGGGAGTATATTCAGCCCAAAGAAGACCCCTCCTCGGAAGTCTGCCTCTCTCTCCAACCTGCATTCTGTGAGTGGCCTCTGGGTGAAGTGGCAACACGGTGGAAGGGCGTCCTTTTAGTTTATATTATTGCTTAACTTTGAATTCCTGTGTGGGGGTTACTGTCTGAGTTTATTCAAGAACCTGTTAAGACAGCCAGCCGCTGGACCTGTGTCCCGGTGGCCTCTAGCTCTGCAGGCCGATGACCTAAGGCACTCGTTTTTTGGTGTGCATCAGAACCTGCTAGAAATGAAACTGAGGGTCTGCATGGAGTGTTAGGAAGAGCTTAGGGCAGCTCAGACTTAGAGGGACACGATGCACTTGTCTTTGTGAAATGTGTAGGACAGAAAGTATGGTTCACGGGATGAGAAAAGAGAGACCAGGACCTGGTAGAGATTAGGTTATAAAGTGAGACAAGATTAACCAGTTGGACCAGTTAGCATTATATAAAAATCTTGTTTTATATTGTCAGAGTTTATGTGAATTTCATAGTGACTTGTCCCAGCAGACTGAACTGGGATGTTAAAAAGAAATTAAATGGCATCTTTTAAAAAAAGACAGGCAGCCTCCTTCTGATGAGGTCCCAGGTGATGCTGTCCAATCTGACATTTTAGTTCCAAAACTTGCTCAAGAATTCATTTTAGTCATGTTTGAAGATCTAATCCAAGCTGGGTACAGTGGTACACCTTTAATCTCAGCAACCTGGAGATAGAGGCTGGTGGAACTCTGAGTTCGAGGCCAGCCTGGTCTCATAGAGACTCCCAGGATACCCAGACCCTGTCTCACAAAAGGAAAAAGTCAAATTCTGGCCGTTGAGATAAGGGCACGTTGCTCTTTCAGAGTCTGTAAGTCCAGTTCCAGGGGGGCCAACACCCTCTTCTGGCCTCGAGTGGCACTGCATTATAAGATTCAAAGACATCCGTGATGGCAGACCTCTCGCAATGGAGACTCTATGTAGTCCAGGCTGTCCTGGAGCTTGCTATGGAGGCCAAGATGGCCTCAACCTCACAGGCAATGGCTGGGACAAGGAAACACAAAACAAAACATGGTGGAGTGCAGGGGGCTAAATAGCAACCCGTTATCACACGACAAGGGCCCAGGTCTTGAGAAAGGCACATAGGCACCTCGTGGCCTTGTCCCCTGTACACCTTTTGCTCCAGCCACCAAACCTCACAGGCGCCTCCTCTGCATGTAGCTCCACCTGCCCAGAGTCATCTTTCCCGGTCATCAGTTTTACAGCAGCCAGTTGACAACTCTGTATATCAGATGGTCTCTCGGGTGCTGGATGAAATATATTAAGGAAAAGACAGGTACCTGGCTTGGTCATACAGGCTGATAATTCCAGCTACTTGGGAGGCTGAGGTGGGATTACAAGATTAAGGCCTGCCTGGGCACCTCTACCATACCCTCTCAGAATTCATGTATTTTTTTAAAGGGGCCCCAGGCAAATGGGGAAATGGCTCCGTTGAGAAATGTGAGGACCTAAGTTTAATCCCCAGAATCAACATTTTAATAGCTGGGCATGGGCTGAAGAGACAGCTCAGTGGCTAATAGCTCTTGTTGCTCTTGATGAGGACCCAGGTCAGATACCCAGCACCCACCTAGTGCTTGGCAACCATCTGTACGTCCAGGTCTAGGGAATCCAGTGTCTTCTGATCTCCACAGGTACCAAGTATGCACGTGGTGGACAGACAGAACACCCATGCATGCACACAATAAAAGCAATCTAATTTTTTAAATATAATAAATTAAAAAGTAAAACACTGGCATGTGAATGGGGTGGTGCTCAGAAGGGAGACCTGGGGCTGAGGACAACAGGATCATTAGGACTCACAGGCCAGGCAGCATAAGCTGCCTGCTGGGCTTCCGGGCAGTGAAAAACTCTCTCAACACAGGTGCTGAAGAAGGGCAGCAGGAGGGAAAAGAGGCTGGGAGGAGGCCGTTTGTTAGGGAAAACGCAAAGATGAGGAGAAAAGAGAATCTACCGTAACACACTTGAAAATGCCATCCTGACAGCTAATGCCTTCTGTGCTGGTTTCTTTTTGTGTGTGGGGTGGGTAGAGTTGAGACAGGTTCTCTCTGTGTATCCCTGGCTGTCCTGGAACTGTTTGTTGAGCAATCGGGCCTTGAACTCACAGAGATCCACCTGCCTCTGCCTCTTGAGCTTTGGAATTAAGGATGTGTACCGCCATGCTTGGCCTGAAATTTTTTCAAAATGTGGATGGTGCCTGAAGAATAACACCTGAGGTTGTCTTCTGGCCGTCACACGTGTACACACATACATCTGCACATACATGAACACTCCTCTCTCTCTCTCTCTCTCTCTCTCTCTCTCTCTCTCTCTCTCTCACACACACACACACACACACACAGGGCAAGGGATATATCTTAGTGGTAGAGCACTTGCCTAGTCTATCAAGTCCCAAGGTTCAAGCCCCACTAGGAAAAAAGGGAGGGCAGGGGGGAATCAAATCCCTGCATCTACTTAGAGAGCAGACATCTTAACCAGGAGAGCGATGTGGAAACAAAGCTGTCACTTTAAATAGGGTGCTCAGAGAAGTCCTAGTTGAGCAAAGGACATTTCGGCACACACTTGACGGCATTCTCCCCTCTCTTTTTCTCGTTCTTTCTAGACACACACACACACAAAACCAGCTTCTTTTTTTTTTTTAAAGGATTTATTTATTTGCCATGTATACAGTGTTCTGCCTGCATGTACACCTGCACTCCAGAACTCATTATAGATGGTTATGAGCCACCATAATTCTTGCTGGGAATTGAACTCAGGACCTCTGGAAGAGCAGCCAGTGCTCTTGACCTCTGAGCCATCTCTCCTACCCCTAAACTAGAATTTTATCATAACTATGTGCTTCCATATTAAACAAACAACAATTTACGCGTTTCCTTGTATTATAAACTCACAGTGATGAAGAGCATGAATTAAAATTGAGTATTATTATATACATGGAAATGCACAGTGGTACTCTTGGAATTGTCAAGTAGATGTAAAAACTCAATTTACAAGGGCAGAGTGGCATACACCTTTAGTCCCAGCACTCATGAAAGCAGGCAAATCTCTGAACTCAAGGCCAGCCTGGTCTACAAAGCAAGTTCCAGGACAGCCAGGGCTACATGGAGAAATCCTGTCAGAAAGAAAGAAAGAAAGAAAGAAAGAAAGAAAGAAAGGAAGGAAGGAAGGAAGGAAGGAAGGAAGGAAGGAAGGAGAAAACAGAAAATCAACTTATAAATGGCAGCCTATATAGCCTTTCTGGAAATGTGCAAAGTATAAACCAGAACATTTCTTCCCTCTTATAATTTAAATTGGGTGGGTGGGCCTGGGTGGGTGGCCCCCATGGGTGGGTGGGCCCTCATGCACAGAGGCCAGAAGAGGACATTGGGTGTCCTGTTTTATTCGCTGAGACTGGGTCTCATTCTGAACCTGGAACTTTTCATTTTCGCCTAGGCTGGTGACCAGCAAACCCCACTGAGCCACCTGTCTCCCATCTACCACCCCCACCTACACCCACCCACACACAGCACGCTGGGTCTTATGGCCACACCTGGCTTTTTCTGAGCGTAGTCAGCATATTTACATGGCAAGCCCTCCTACCCACTAAGCAATCGCCAGCCTCTAGTTCAAATGCCTGTTATATATAGTTTGATGGTCCAGCCTTTTAAAAAGTATTTACGGTCTTAGATGTGATGGTAAGCTCTTTTAGTCCTAGCAGTCTTGAGGCAGAGGCAGGCAGATCTCTTTGAGTTCAAGGCCAGCCTGGTCTACAGAGTGAGATACAGGACAGCCAGGGTTACATAGTGAGACCCTATCTCAAAAACATGTGTTTTTAAAGGTCTAAGTATTGGTGGGAGGGCAGACATCTCTTGTTGGCTCTAGACTAATGGGAGGAGCTGGGATGTGAGCTCTTGTTCTGCGGCTTCCTGAGCCATCATGGTCTCTTACCACAGTTAGATCGGTCGACTCGGGAATTGGAGCTGGGCCTTGACTATGGAACTCCCACCATGAACCTGGCAGGGCAAAGCCTGAAGTTTGAAAATGGCCAGTGGGTGGCAGGTGAGTGGCCCTTTCTGGTGTTTTGTCAGTCAGGATGCTAGAAGGAAACCCCCTCTCACTCCTGTTTCATGCTTCCTCTAGACACAGTGATTAGTGGGGGTGTGGATCGGAGGGAAACTCAGCGCCTGCGCAAACGAAACCAGCAGCTGGAAGAAGAAAACAATCTCCTGAGGCTGAAAGTAGACATTTTGCTGGACATGGTAAGCAAGGCAATCAGAAGTGATGCCTAGGGTTTCCCCGTCAGGGAATCCCTACCGTGTGTCAAGCCATCCAACTGTTTTCCCCAGGGCCCATTTGCCAGGTCCATTTCCTGTGTATCCAAACACAAATATAAACGCCAACCTTGCCACCAAAGGCTTGGAGCAGGGATGTATCACAGTACCCACAATTCCTGTGCCTGTGGTAAGGGTATCCTTTAGTCCAAGCAGAGTCTGGTACCAACACAGGAGGAGAGGTCTATATAATAGAGAGAGCGTCTCAGATAAAGCAGTGTGTGAACTGAATACCCCAGGATGGGGGCAGGAATGGAGGTTAGATGAAGGCATCCCGCGCAGCAGGGGAGTCCGGTCATGGTGTGGAGGTACACTGCCTCAAAAGGGGTGAATCAGTCCTGAGCGCAGACCTGCTGGGCGGGCAGTCTCTGTGTCTGCTGGGCCTGGCGTGCATGTGCAGGGTGACGGCAGGAGTGATGGAGCTCATGGCAAGCTTCTCTGCCCTGCTGGCTCACTGCTCTGTGATCTCATCTCTCCAGCAAGGCAGCTTGGCATTCTCCTCATGGAGCCACGCACAGGCTCTGGAAGCAGAGACCACCGGACCGCCCTGTCTTCATGTTCAGGGTCTGCCTAGTCAAAGATCCTGATGAGTAAAGGACCATTATTTTTAAGAGCATCCCATTTGCCCAATTAGGTTGTTTTGTTTTTTTTAATTGCATCATTCCCAAAATGCCATTATATGAGCTCTAGAGCTCAAAGTGATTTATACTCCCTTCACTGTAGCGTGCCCATTATCTGTTTTCATCCTTCACATGTGGCATGACATGCAGTTAGTTGTAAGTGACGGAAGTGCTACCGGGCTGAAGTATGGGTAGAGAAATTCCTTTGGCCACTAAGGCCCTCCTGTTGAAGAGGTGAGCTGGGTGAGGAATGCCGCCTTTCCTTGGAGCTGTGCATTCCTGCAGCATGGCCTGGACACGTAACAGTGTGATGCTTTTCTTCCAGCTGTCAGAGACCACTGCTGAGTCCCACTTAAAGGACAAAGAGCTGGACGAGCTGAAGATTATCAACCGCAGGAGGAAATGAAGCCCCTGGGAACACACGCTAGGAGACTAGAAAGAGTCCCGCTGACTGGGGGAGGAGGATGTGGCAGAGCCCTTTGATTTTTAGTCAGATTAGTAACTTGCCCTAGGAGAGAGCATTAACAGGCTCTGGCTCCCTTGGACTGGGAATAGAGAGGTGACGTGGACCCCCAGGTGCCAGGCCAGGGCCATAGCTAGGGAGGCACCTCAGACACACCGCTGGGTGTCAATCCAAAGCAAACCCCAGGAAGGTCTAGAACTTAGGGAGCCTTTAGTCACTGTCAGCAGGGGACAGCATACAGCTATCCACGTCTCAGAGTCACCGTACTCAGACAGCTGGCAGCTCACCTCATTGCACGGGTGTCTGGGGTTTGCCACTAGTTCGAGAGAACATCACGTGAGGGTGCATAGCTAGCGGCTCTGGGTTGTCTGACCCCTTCTCCCCTGAGCCACACTCTCTCTACCCCTAAAGAACCCTCATCCCCACGTCCACAGCCTCTTCTGGCATCAACTTCCCAGCAGCAAGCCCCAGCCTTTCACAGCACACTGTAATTTACTCCACTTTCCTGTTTTGACTATTTTTATTTTATTAAATGACCCAAATAAGTAAACCAAAAACAAACAAGAGCTGTGTGGGTTCCTGTAGAAGTATCTTTTATTGTCTAGAAGAAATTGTAGTCTCAGAGGCTTACTCCCTCCATCTGCTTACCTAGGCCTACTCTTGGAACCTTCTAACTTCTGTATAATCTAGTCTAGGTCTAGAATGTTTTCAGCTCTGAGACTTAATTCTGAATAAGCTCACACTTTCTAGCTCTTTCTGAAGTCTGGCTGGCTGGGTCTACCCAGCTGTCTGGCTTAAAACTCTTCTAGCTGACTGATTCAAACTGGCTTCTCTCAGCTTCTGACTGAATTCCTCTGCTTGGCCTCAAACTATCAATCTACAAATCTTCTGGCTCCATGTCATTGTCTGGATCATTCTATCTTCACCTGCGTCTAGTCTGTTCCCTGTACAACCTGTCTCTGTAAAACTCTCCCAGTGCTTTTAGCACTTCTGAATTCCACGAACTGAACTGCCACAAACTCTACTGCACTCCTCAACTCACTGACTCAACAGAACTGCCTGAACAGCACTGACTAGAACTCAGAGATCTGTATGCCTCTGTCTCCTGAGTGCTGAAATTGATGGCATATACCACCATGCCTGGACCTAAGCTTTTCTCTACCTGAAACTTGCTCTATACCAGGCTTGCCTTGAACTCAGAGATCTGCTTGCCTCTGTCTCCTGGGATTAAAGGAGTGTCTGTATTCCAGCCAGAGTCCACAGTTGCTGGATTAAGATTCTTCTGCAGGTTCCTCAAAGAAGTAACCAGAGCCGGGGTCCTAAGTGTTGCTCCACCCAAAGACAGGATTTTCAGGATTGGGAGAACAGCACCTTGAAGTGGGAAACCACACTGGAAGAGAAATAGTGACTTCATGCTCAAATTCCTCTGCTTTCCTGCTTCAGGGAGGTGGCACTGGTGGCCCACTTGGTGGGCCAGACCTATTGAGGAGTGGATGGCATGGGAATCGGTGCCCAAGTTAGTGTGAACCAGCCTTCTCCAGTCGGAGGGGAGTCTAGTTCTCAGAGTCCAGCAGGGGATGCGACTGAGGCACGGAGCCCAGGGCCTTAAACTGGGGACCACTACAATGGTTACCTCCTCCTGAACCGGTACTGAGCCTGGCAGTGGGCTCAGTCCTTTGCACACTTCCCCTCACCCCCTCGTCCACTGCCCCATGTGGAGGCCAGAGGACACACCTCACGTCCCCTCGTGTAGTTAGGACATGCCTAACTACATACAAGACACACTGTTCAGAGACCAGTTTGGAAACTGCTTTAGACACCAGTGCAAGTGCTGGAAGCCTGAGTCGCGGTCCACAGTGACAGAGGATGGGACTGCCGACATGGAGGCCATAACTTGTAGCAGCTCCTAATGGCCAGCAGAACACTGCAGGGGGATGGACAGGAAAGCATAATAGAGAACCACAGCTCACAACCTCACTTCCTGATCCCAGAACAAGTGCCAAACCTGGAAATCTACACCCCCCACATACACCTTCTTAACTCTATTACATTTTACTTTTTATGGGGCATGTGCCCTACTGCTCCATGTGGAGGTCAGAGGACAAATGTCAGGGGTCAGTTTTTTTCCTATGTGGGTCATGAGGACCAAACTCAGGTTGTCAAGCTTGGTGGCTTGTGTTCTTATCCCATGAGTCATCTTGCTAGCCAAAGAAAATGCTGCATCCTGGAGAAACCATAAAAGGGTCCAGATACATCATATAGGTGCAGAGTGTGGAAACCTGGGGTTTGCTTATGTCCAGGCCATGTTTTTGGCAACCATTTATCGAGAACTGCTGATGCTGAACATCTTTGTTTGGTTGGTTTGTGAGACAGGGTTTCTCTGTGTAGCACTGGCTGTCCTGGACGTGTGCCACCGTGCTGGCTAGCATGTCATTCTTAAGAGTTTCCTTTTTGGGTAGATACCTTTTTCAGGATCTGGCTAGAATTCTCCCTCAAAGTCTTTCTCTGTCAAACTAGAGGCGGACTAGTGCTGGCCCGTTGACATTCTTTCTTGTAATCATGGCAACAGTTTTGTGAGTTGGAGTAGGGAAGGACTGTCACTAAAGAGCTGAAATAGAAAGTTCTGTGGGCGTGAGGCAGTATTAGAGGCAGTCATCAGAGGCCTGATGACTGCGCCTCGGTGTGCAGGTACAGGCTGAATCTCACAGCTTTTGTTCGCTTCCCCGAGAGACCTATATGGCTCCAAAAGTAAGAGCTTCACCTCCAGCTCCAAATTCTGACAGGACACAAACAGGAGTGGCAGGTACTGTAGCCCTGAGGGAAGAGGACTCTCCACCCACCCACATCCTTTAGTCTGTGTGACTTCTGGCCTGGATTCCACTTACTGTATGTGGCCTTCGCTGCTGGGCATTTGTCCTTGAGGCCCACAAGTGCTTGTCACACTCCCCACTTCTGGAGTTGTGTCCTCTGCTCCTGGCTCAGGCTTTTCTGGATCACCTTGTCCGCCCCCTAGTGGTCTCAATGTGCCAGTGCATGCTCCCACTGTTTTTTGATCTCTTAGCAATTTTATGATTGTTGAAAACCCTTTCGCTCTTTTTTTTTAAACACTCTTTTTTAAAACTCACGTATGAGCTGGACATGATGTTGCATGAGCTTAGTCCCAGCACTTGGGAAAGGCAGGTGTATTTCTGTGAGTTGGAGCCCTACATAGAATTCTTAGGACAGTGAGGGCTACATAGAGAGGCCTTGTCTCTAAAAAATACAAAATCAGTGGTGTACACCTGTGATCCCAGCACTCTGAGAGGCAGAGGCTGGCAGATCTCTATGAGTTCGAGGCCAGCCTGGTCTACAAAGGGAGTCTAGGACATCCAAGGCTACACGGAGAAATCCTGTCTTGGAAAAACCTAAAGAAATGAATAAAAATAAACAAATGAATAAAATAAATAAATGGTTGTGTTTGTGCACCTGGTACAGTGGTGCATGCTGCAATCCAAGCACTCAGGAAGGCAGGGGTATCTCTGTGAGTTGGAGGCCAACACAGTCTACAAATGGGTCCAGGACAGCCAAGGCTACACAGAGAAAACTATCTCAAAGAAAAGTAAAAGCGTGTTAGAATGCACAAAGCCCTGTGTTTGATTCCCAGTATCACCTACCAGTGTGATGACACACGCGTGGCCTCAGGTGGAGGTAGAAGGATCAGAAATTCAAGATCATCTTTGACTACAAAGTAAGTTCAAGGCTACCCTGGACTACATGAAACTAAGCCTTAATGTGGGAGAGAGTGAGTGGCCCAGTGGGTAAAGATGCTTGCTGCTAAGCCTGAATTTGATCCCCGGGAACCACATGGTGGAAAGAGAGTGTGGGGGGGGGCATTCACCAGAAAAGACTGTTCCAACATGGGGTTAAGCCAAGAGGAAATCTGAACATCCTACATTGGATGTTCAGGATCCCAGGCTAGCCTGGTGAGCCTTTCTCAGGGTGTGTTTTTAAGCACAAAAACCACGTTCTGGGTTGACATACTTCGTTCGGGTAACAAGAACAGTTAACCAGAAGCGGGACTACAGAAGCCAAAAAGCAATGTTAGCGCAATTTAGATACTTTACCGTAACTTTGGACTTTGATGTATTAGGTCTTAAACTTTTGGCTGCTGGTGCTGTCCATGCGATGAATTTTACAGACTGAATGGTACTTCCATCATGGAGTCAGTTGTGCTAAGGTCTGGGGCCCTGTTACAGAGAGAACCAACTTCTGCAAGTTGTCCTCCTCGACCCCCATAAACACAACGTGGTATATGTGTGCCCATGCACATACACACATAAAAGTGGGGTTTGGTTTTGTTTTCTTCCTGAAACAGGATTTCTCCGTGTAGCCTTGGATGTCCCGGAGCTCTCTCTAGACTAGGCTGGCTTTTAATTCACCTGCCTCTGCTAGGATTAAAGGTGTGTGCCACCACGGCCCAGGAACCATGTGATTTTTTTAAAATAAGATTCAGTTTTTCCAATTATGTGTTGTTGGGTCTGGTTTAGCATTTAAAATCACTTACTAATCTCACAAAGGACCCAAGTTCGGTTCCCAGCATCCATGTCAGGTAGCTCATGACTGCCTGTAACTCCAGCTCCGAGGATCAAAGGCCTCAGGCCTTCAAGGGCACCAACTCAAATTATAAACATAATTTAAAATAAAAAGTTTAAAATAATCGCTGTTGGGTGCAATGACTCACGTTTTAAATCCCAACACTTGGGTGGTTGAAGCAAGATAAGTCTGAGGCAAGTCTAGGCTACCACCGCAAGACCTTCAATCCTTTGGAAGGCAGAGGCAGTCCTAGTTCAGCCTGGATTACACAGCGAGACCTGTCTATGAAAGTATTGCTCACCTGGCAGTGGTGGCGCAATCCTTTAATCCCAGCACCCGGGAGGCAATGGCGGGCGGATCTCTTGAGTTCAAGGTCAGTTCCAGGACAGCCACGACTACACAGAGAAACCTTGTCTCAGAAAAACAAAACGCAGATCTTTTTAAAATATGCAGGTTTCAGAGCCCAGCCCAGGCCCAACTACACAAGATAGCTGGGATGCAACCGCAGGTCTCCTTGAGCAAGCTCCCGACTCTTAACTGCCAGTTAAAATTAAGAGCCTGGCGACACGGAGGGGCCGGGCGCTCTCTCCTCGCTTCCGGAAGACGCTCTGTCCAGCGGTGGGTCGCTCTCGCCGGCTCCCTTCCGCTTCCGGTGTCCTACAGCCATGGCCGCCGCCGTCGCTGCAGCCGGCGCAGGGGAGCCGCTGTCTCCCGACGAACTGTTCCCGAAAGCCGAGGCGGAGAAGGCCGAGGAGGAGTTGGAAGAAGACGATGACGACGAGGTGCTAGGGCCTGCGGGGAGTGGGGCGGGAGCGGGCCGTCGGGGCGTGGGCGCCGCGAGCCGGGAGGGCGGCTTCTCCGCGCGGCAGCAAAGGGCCGGGCGCCGGGTCGGCGGCTCCGGTGCTGCCGCCGCTTCGCCAGTGACCCGCACCTCCTCCACCACAGCTAGATGAGACCCTGTCGGAGAGACTCTGGGGCCTGACGGAGATGTTTCCGGAGAGGGTCCGGTCCGCCGCCGGAGCCACCTTTGATCTCTCGCTCTTCGTGGCCCAGAAGATGTACAGGTAGAGGACGGAAGTAGAGACACTGGGAGTGTGCATGGAAGAGTGACTGTTGTCAAAGGACACCGGGCCATGGAAGCCGCAGACCAGAGTTTGAGTGACCTTGGTTTCATTGTCATACCCCTAGTGTGGTTGGTCGTCTGCAGAGTGGAGTTCTTGTCTGACAGGGTGGTTGTGGGAATTCTTTCAGGTTGTCTAAGGTTATTATATGCGAGGCTTATAAGGATGTACTGAAATCGCTAAGGGTAATTACTGCGCCTCTTGCTCCCGCTAGGAGTTTGGTGCAGGGAATGGGTAGGGTACGCTTTCAAAAACATCGAGGAAGATAATGGAAGTTCTGTCACCGGGTGGATCTTGGCCAGGTTGTGTGCTTTTCTTTTCATGTTTCCACACACACACTCTCCCTCTGCAGATTTTCCAGGGCAGCTCTGTGGATAGGGACCACTTCCTTTATGATCCTGGTTCTTCCTGTTGTCTTTGAGACAGAAAAGTTGCAAATGGAGCAACAGCAGCAGCTGCAGCAGCGGCAGGTAAGCGCATGCTCAGGGCTTTATAGGCCAGCAGGGAGGCCCAAGGAGTACATGGGCACTTAACCCCAAGCGGGCGTAGGTCCATGTACTAATAGGTGCCTGACTGCTCAGCAGTGTAGAGTTTGCCATGGGTGTCTTAACACTTTCCTTTTTTCTTTTCCAGATACTTTTAGGGCCTAACACAGGGCTGTCAGGAGGAATGCCAGGGGCTCTACCTCCACTTCCTGGAAAGATCTAGATTGTTACTTCTGTGTTTGTCCTGGTGGGAGAACTTTGAAATTCAGTTGTGTTGAAACTGCTGATTGTTTGATTTTTTTTTTTTTTTTTTTTTTGGTGGGGGGAATTTTTAATTTTTTTGTTTTTGTAGAACTTGTTTTTTTTTTTTTTTTTTTTTTTTTTTTTTTTGGTGGGGGACTGGGGACACATCAATCTAATTAACAGAACTTTCTCCGTTTCTCATGGAGAGACCCTAGCTGCACCTGTGCCCTTCATAATGCCCTCACTTGTTTCATGTTCTCACTTTGATGCTGGAATACAGCCATGTGGAAAGTTTTCACCTCTATTCCTTTAGTGAATGCTAAGGAAATTCTCATGCCCATTGTGGGAGAGAAGCAAGCCCCCTCACCATTAAGGGCTTTTTTTTCTTTTCTTTTCTTTCTTTTTTTTTTTTTTTTTAATGGAAATATCTAGGACATGTAAACAATATGGAACTGACAAAATCCATTACAGCTGTAGCAGACAACCGTCACCAGGAACCCCATGTACTCTGGAGAGAAGGGAGGCTGGCTCTAGCTTTAGCCACACGAGGACTGTGGACAGAGCAGGCACTCATTTCCTCTGCACATTCTGGCTCTTAGATCTGTGTGTGTATAAAAAAAAGACGACAGTACTCACTTTTTGTACTTAAATATTAAAAGAACTCCAACTAAAAGTGTCATTGCTGTGTTTGTGACAAGTATTTTGCACTTAGGCTGTTTTAGAAAGCCAAGGACATTGCCTGCTAGACTTCCCCTGCTTAAGCCAGCACCTCTATTTCAACCTCATTTTATGTGTCTAAGTTGCAGAGTTTTCTTTTTTCCTTTTTTTTTTTTTGATTGTTTGTTTTTGTTTTTTTGAGACAGGTTCTCTGTATAGTCCTGGCCACCCTGGAACTCATTTTTGAGGCTGGCCTCAAAAAGCTTTTTTTCTTTTTTTTAAGACAGGGTCTCACTGTGTAGCCCTGGCTGTCCTTAAACACCTTCTGTAGACCAGAGCTGGCCGTGAACTCACAAAGACCAACCTGCCTGCCTCTGCTTCCTTAGTGCTGGGATTAAAGGCATGTATCACCATCACTCAGTTTTTTAAGGTAGTAGAGATTATTGCCCTAAATTCAAGTATCACTTCCAGACTCTCCCACAGAAAGTGAAGGACAGACTGTAAATGTTGAGTCTATATTGAAATAAAGCTTTACAGTGGGTGTTGCCATCTAGTCTTGAGAGAGGGGAAGCTTGCAAATAAAGCTTAGCTAATTCTTGTTTTTATTTGGGATAGTGTCTCCATAGCCCAGCTGGCTTTCAACTTACTCCTCTGAGTGCTGGGGGATTATGGGCATGCACAGCTGTTAAAGACGGATTTCTTTTTTTAAGTAATTTCAGTGAGTCTCTAATGGATCCAACTTTAGTTCTATCCAGGAACCTTGCAGTTTTTCCACTCAGTGTTGGTCTTTTGTTTTTCTCTTGAATGAGGTCTATATAGACCAGGCTAGCTTCAAATTCAAGATGGCCTGGCCTCTGCTTCCTGAGTGCTGGGATCAAAGCTGTACCACACTTAAGACTGACTGTGGTTTATTGTGCAGGTTTTCTAAGCCTTTAAGGTGGTCAGTTCTCAAGGGCACTCTTGCTATTTGGGAGGTTGTGCTATTACTATGGGCTAAAGACTGCTGCATCTATATTGAAACCCAGCCTTCCAACCAGGCCACTGCTGTGTGCACTCCAGGCCAGCAGCTCATGGGTGCCTGGCCTTTCACTTGCTAAATAGGGAAACACAGTCAACAAGTTGCAAACTCCAACTCATTTTTAAAACTAAAATTCCCATGTCCCGGGTATGTTTATTTTCTGAGGCAGGGTATACCAGCTGTATCCCAGCCCGACCGAACATACAATCTTCTTGTCTCATCCTCCCAACTGCTAGGACAACAGGGTGGTTGGGGCACCTCGCACTAAACCTCACCAAATGAATACTTTGGCTTGGTTTTTCAGGCAGGAGATCCCCTTTATGGCAAAAATCATACCAGAGGTTTTTACATAATAAGGCAACAAGCAGATTTGTGTTCAGTTTTTCATTTTTAATATTTGGTTAAACAAAATACATCTTTGTAAACAAACCCAGCACAAGGCCAACAGAAAAAGGGAGTAAAGCAAGAAAAACAAAGCCTAGGGCTGCCCCTTACTGGGCATCAGGGTCAGGACGCCCCTTCCTTAAAAGGAACGGGGCTTTTTGCCCGTGGGCATCAACATGGGTCCCTGTTCCTAAGCACCAGAATTGGATATGAACAGAACCAGCCCTGAAATGCTTAAGCGTCTTTGTACATCCCACTGGCTCACGGACTCCTCCTACATGGGACTCCTTTGCAGTGCCATTTGCACAGGCCCAAGCAGATCTGTAGGGAGAAGTCTCCTCTTCCCAAGAAATGGCTTACTACACCGACAGTGCCAAAGGACCCAAGGTCCTGCTTGTGACAATCAGCAAGGTCGGCTGTAACTTCTGGCTGGTAGTGATTGGAATGTCATTGTGCAGGGGCAGAGCTCCCCATGGTGCCAAGCAGATCTGGTGTAGAAAATGGTGCAGATGACCGTGGCTGAATTTAATGCAGGAGCCACTTGGGGCCTCTGCTACTCGAATACAAAAGGGCCTTGCTGGATTGAAGATACATGTGCAGAAAAAGTGCTGGTGTAAACATGCACTCCAGTCACAGTGCGGAGATACCCCCCGCTTCATTCCCAGTAAGCTTACTCAGGATTGACATGCAAGCCCCAGGGCTAGCTCTGCTGCCAAGGAAGAAGCCTGGCCAGTGGGGTGGTTCTCAGACCTGCAGAGACCATGGATCCATAAGGGCTGGCTAGATCACCTGCCTGCCCACCAGCCTCAAAGGCCACCACAACACACTGGTGTGTAGTATGGTACTTATTTCCTCTCATTTTCCAAACTTACAAGAGAAAAATGGTCTAGAACTACTTGAGTTGGGGTCGAGCCAACCCTCAGTTTCTAAAGGAAACGACACAGAGATGCCAAGCCCAGAGGCTCTAGCACGATGCACACAACCAGACTGGCAATCGGGATGTGCCTGCCAGTTCTCGCTCTCTAACTGTGAAGCTTGCCTTCATGGCAGTTTCCTTCCCCAGCTCTGTCCCAGACTGTGGAATTTCATGTCAACAGTATATGTGTTTCTGATTTTGCAAAAATGGCCCGACTAGGAGTGCCATCCCTCCTCACTGTCTTTTGCCCCAGAGCCTAAGTCAATGTAGTGAAATGGTAGGGACATAACTGGAATGAAAACACTGTCCTAATATGGCTTTAGCCACATAACATTAGCTATCTCTTTCACCATTGTCTTGCTGGAATACTGTGCAATTCACCTACTTTGGAATATCAGAACTTTTCATTATAAAACTCCAAGGCTGGCTGATTAAAAGGGGGATAAGAGGTGGCATTGTGGATTGCAGATGGCATGCAATGCCACCGCTGTGAGCTTGACAGTTTCCTGAGACGCTTATGCTCTGGGTCCTTTGAGCCAAGTCACTGGCCTCTGCATGTACTGTGTCCTCAGACCTGGTGTCGCAGGAGAGGAAGGAAGTAGCCTCCCTGTGCCTGGAGCATCAGTGGCACTACCAGCAGAACCTGTGTCAAGGCCTCACAGAGAGGGGAAAATAAGCAACCCCCTCCCACAAAAGACCCCCTCTCACCTCCCTCTCTGAAATAGAAAAGGGTGTTCAATGGCTTGCCCTAAGTGTTCAGAGCTCCTACCTTCTTCCCCTGGGCACAGACAGTGCTGGGAGGCCCTGTGACAGTCCACACATCTGTCCTATTGCACTGGCAAATCTGAAGGGAAAACCCAATGAGATGTTTGGGGAAGTGGACTGTAGAGGCCACAGCACATCAAAGAGGGCTGGAGGGTTGAGGTGAAGAATAGGTCTGGCAGAACTGTCACACATCTGCCCTCCAGCTCTGATGGGCTTCCACTTCTTCTGGCACCACCAGTAGGAGTTCACAGTTTTTTCCTCGCAAATGGTATTTTAGAAATTTCCTATGGAAGAGGGAATAGGCAACAAGAAATGAGATGCCAGTGAGTTGCAGACTGCAGTCCTGGAGCTACCCATTCACCAGAACCCTCCCCACTCACACTTAAGGCAATCTTTTTTCCCCCTTTCCAAAACAGGGTTTCTCTGTGTAATCCTGGTTGTCCTGGACTTCATCTGTGGACCACACTGGCCTCAAACTGGGAGCTCCACCTGCCTCTGTTTTTTTCCCCGTGACAATCTTAAAACTCCAAGGGTGGCTGACTGTGATGGTGCACACCTTTAATCCCAGCACTCAGGATGAATAGGCAGGTGGATTTCTAAGTTCAAGGACAGCCAGGGCTACACAGAGAAACCCTGTCTCGGAAAACCAAAACAAAATAAGGCTCCAAGGGTGACTGGCTCTTATGAGATTCCAAGTTTGGTTACTGTTCCGTTGCTCTAGAATTCCAGTCTGAATTTCTGCTCCTCCACATATATTGCTGTCACTAGTGGCTGACGGTGACAGGACTAGAACATGGCACATTCTGGTGGGTACACAGGCACCATACAGAAATAAGTAATATAAGGAGAAAACTTCAGTCACGAGGCTAGGTGTGGTGGTGTGGATGCCTTTAACCCCAGAAGACAGAGCTCTAAGTTAGAGTC